CCGTTTTTGTTTTAATGTTTCATATTAAAATGAAAAACGGTGCATCTTGGATGTTTACAGTAAAAGCAGAAGGTCTGCATGTAGAGCAGCTATTTAACCTTTAGTTCTGTTTTATATTTAGGTCACACATTAAAAACCAGTTTCCTCTGTTGAAGCTATTTATTCTTTATTTCTTTATCTATCTGAATTGTGTTTATTATTTCCTAATGATATATATTTTTTTTATTATTTACAGAGTTTATTTGCAGGTTAATAATTGTTGATTCTATTTATATTTGTTTTATTATTTTTATTTCTTTATTTTTCTCCTGAGGTAAGACAGGAAGTGATGCGGATCACTTAAGGGCCCATTAAGGGCCCCGCAGGCGGTTTGGGGCCTCTGGGTTTTTTTTGGACATTGAACCTGTTGCTTGCGTACAGAAACTTGACCCCGGGGCCTCAGCAGGCTGCTTGGTTTGGATTTGCAAATAATTTGAAACTATTAAACAACAAAACTATTATCAAAGGCAGAAATAATCCTTTCAGAATAAAATTAGATTTTTTTTTTCTTTGCAGCAGAAAATGATATTTGAATGTTTCCAGTAACAGCAGCAGGTCTGCATGCAGAGCAGCTATTTAACCTTCACTACTATTTTATTTTTAGGTCACATATTAAGTTTCCAACACGTGAAAATCACAAACAACAAAACTTTTATCAAAGCAAATATAATCATTTCAAAATAACAACATTTGCATTTTGTATTTGAATGAATTTAAATAAAATATATATAAAATGAGCTCATCTATGACATCTGGCGGTAGATGGTGACATTTTAAACGTGTTAAAATGTAAAAAAAAAAAAAACAAAGAGGGAAACTAAGGTTTATATTTGGGATCTTAGGAGTTATAAAGTTATAAGTTTAATCAAAACAAGAAGCGAAGCTTTAACTGAAACAAAAAGCGACTTTTTTTCCCTCCAGCTGTGTGAAATAAAGAGCTTGTTCCGCCTGTTGGTCTGTCTCGGCTTTAAATTCATGGCCCCATGTAGGGGCCCCATGTAGGGCCCCTACATGGGGCCCCTGTGACTCATGCCGCAGCGATGTGTCCTATAGAAGGTTAATCACTCACCATAAAGGCTCCTCCGCCGCTCAGAGACGCAGAGAAAAAGTGGCGACTGCGACACGAAGCAATTTTCTTTATCTAACTTTCACTTTCGATATGAGTAAGACTGCCTAAAGGGGAGGGGCTATCTTATGTCAATCAAATGGAGATGGGAACCAGTGGCGGTTCCAGAACAAATGTACCAGGGGGCCAGGAGGGGGCCAGAAAAGCAGGTAATAAAAAACAGGACAAGGGATTCAAATCTATTAAGATAGATGCATGAAGGGTAATTTCTATTCAATTAGGTTTAATTGATTAATTAAGTTTAATAAATATTCTATGTCTTATTAATTCTAGTCTAGAAGTTTAGGTTTCTATAAAACCTGAAGCAGAGCTCTATGGGGCGCCGTTTGTAAAGTGAAGCAGTGAAAAATTAGGAGCAATATTTATGGTTATTAAGCGTTTTTAAGAGAAAAATAAGGGTTTATTTTTTTCCAAGTCATTTTTTTCACTATGTCATTCATTCATTCATTTATAAAAATTGTTGTATTGTTAAATAAATATTTATTTAGCAAATTAAATATTTAATTCGAAACTAAATACGTCTTTAAAGTCGTAGGGAAATCGTATTTAAATGTCAAATCATTCTGGCTTAAACATGTATATAAATGTTCTCTTTATCAGATGATATTGTCCCAAAATGTAAAAAAAATTCTATAAAAAAAAAAATCCTGTCTTAAAATCTGTATTTTTTTTCCCGTTATCTTCTGCAGGCCAGTTAGTTCTACGTCAGCCTGAACACCTAAATTCGGCCAATCATATATCAACGGTCATCTGTCAATCATATTGTTTCAGTCATAGCATCTTGATTCATATGTCGCAGCTAATATACGCAACGGTTGAAATAAGAATCATTTCCGAAAAAGTTTTCTAAAAAAAGGCTAACGCTAACCAAACATTTCTACTTAAGTAAAATAACAAAGTATTGGTTATTTTTTACTAACAAGAATGGGACGGCTTCTTCCCTCCAACTGAAAAGGAAAGCAGT